TTATTTCGGATTACTTGGTAGTTTTAAATCCACGGTCTATGCATGGTCTATTCGAAATATGATCACAAACTAACAAAAAATATGTGCGTGTTATTAGATACGCTCAAGGTTAGCAAATTGCTAAACTATGCACAATCCTAAACTCAACTGACTACTTGCTGTATATCGCCGTTTGACAAGAGTAAGTAAATCGCTCTGGCAATCATACATTTACATTAGTCCAGCGAGCGTGCATTAAAAATCGATCAGGGGCGCCATGGCGCCGCGTTGCCTACCCCTGCTATAGACAAACAGCATGTAATGAGCATCTATGCAAAATTTCAATAAGATAAGGCAAAACAATATTTAAAATATCCCACTTACCAATAGAGAAAATAACGAAACAGGTTTTGAGCTGCAGTAACTGCACTTATATTTAAAAAAGAATGAAACGGGGAAGAAAAGTGTAAAAGAATGTAAATAAAAATTGCTGATGAGTTAAGAAAAGTTATTGAATACAGTTATCATTCAATATCAGTTTAAATCACTGACTCATTAACCTTTACTATTGAGAAAATAGCTGCAGCAAAATTTAAAAAAATAAACTAAAAAATAAATTTAATTCCTAAAATATTTAATGAGATAAACACATTTAAAAAATATTCATCATTTATTAAATCAAACAAAAAAGTGGTGATAAAATATCGAAAAAACGAGTAAAATAAAAACTAGTAAGTAAATAAAACGAGTAAATTTGTTAACTAGCTATATCTCAAGATTTGAATGTCAAAGATAAATTTGACATCAATTCCAATTTAACTCTCAATGAAATAATAAAAGTTATAAATACTTTTACAAGCCTTAAAAGAGCTGAATCTTTAAAATGCTGCTTATAAAATAACAAAATCTTTAAAAAAATATGAAGCTATTTTTTTAATAATATGCGACATTTAAATTAAAACCATTAAAATTAAACAAAAATACAGAAATTAATTTAGCCACTGTAGTATTTGTAAAGTTTAATATTGAAACCTTTTTTTTTTAAATTTAAATGTAGAATACCAGTTAATAAAATTAGCCACTTAATACAATCAAACTTCCTAAGAACGAATGATGCTTTATTAAGTGACAGGCACTGTATATTACTAAAAGACAAGTCTTGCTGCAGCTCCCTTTTAAATATTAACATCACTAAACAAAGAAACCATACTTTTGTCAAAAGTAGACACTTTACAAGAATTTATCACTGCTTGAGTCATTAAAATGAATAGTCTAAACACTGCAAGCTGTTTTTTTAAAAAAAAAAAAAATACACAGTGGTACCTCGTTAACGTGAACATGCTTAACATAATTTTTTTAACAGGGTGCTTAGCCAGATTTTTTAAGAAAAAATAAGTACCTTTTTTGTACTTTTTAAACACTCTAATTAGGATCTGTGCAGTAATAAAAATATATTTTTTCTATTGTTTAAAGTTCTTACTTTATAAACATAATAAAATTCAAAAGAATCAAAATTAATTTATAAAATCCAAAATCGTCATAATAAAATTCACAATCAATAAAATTCAAGAACTTTTTTGAAAAAATTACACAATCATGATAAAGTAACTAGTTTCTGATAAATATTGCAGAGAAAAATGTTAAAATTGTGCCCTTTTTTGTAATTTAGAACGAGAATCGACAAGGCAAAGAAAAGAAAAATCTCATTTTAAAATATAGAAAATTATGCACTTTTTACAAATGGTATGTTTTTACAGTTTTTTATTTAATTATTTTGATTGCTTCTGCAAGCAGCAGAAACGTTCATCGCCTGGTAAATTACCTTGAAAAGGCAAGATCCGCTTTTTTGAAGTGAAATTATTTATTTGTAAGTGAACACATTTATTTAAGAAGGTTGAAATAACAATCATATTTTAAAATGAAATAATTTAATTTGAAAACTATTATTGTAAATAATAAGGAAATTATTAACGAAGTTAAACTCATAAAATCTATAATAAAAATATCAATGGTTAAAAGCCTAGTTTTTAAAATATACAAAACAATGCCATCCAAAAATTTTTAAAATAAGTATAGTCTTTTTCTTTGTAAAAAAGCCAGCAGTTAAAGTATGGGAGTACATACAAAGGTATGTCAATATAAAGGGCTACAACTTTATAGGTACCCTGTAACAGAATTTAGGTTTCAGGAATAATATTTACATAATTTACTTTGCTAAATAATAGTGTATCAAAAAAGAAAGGAGAAAATATTTATAAAAAAGTGCTCGATTCTCACACCATAAGGCAGTACATAGGATATCAGAGTTGAATCGTACTTTCTTATTTCTGGAGTGTCATCAGATGACTCGTGCGATGTTGGTGTAACATTGACACTAACATGGCTCTCTCTCCTTGGAAATTGAGAGGGACCAGTACCACCACCAAACCCAAATGTGAGAAAAGAGCGCTGTTTGTGTTGTAGTTGAGGAGGGGCCTTTCCAACAGCTTGCCTATACTGTTACATAAAAGAATAAAGTTATTCAGTTAGAAAAATAAAACTAAGTGATAAACAGACAATAAAGCAATATAAAAAGCAAACATCAAGAAACTATAAATATTAATTCATGCTGTATTATTTAAAATTAGCACAACAAACAAAGCCAATACTTATTTTAGAAAAAGTGGTGATTTTATTTTAACATTTAGTGCAATTGCAATAACATATAAAAAAATATTTTAACACTTACTTCCTGATATATCTGCAATGAAAATTAAGATACTTTTATTATACTGATTTCTTTAGAATATTTAAAGCGAAAGTCAAATTTATACATAAGTAATATTACTTTTCATTTCAGTTAAAATAAAAACTCAATATTTTAAACAAAAGTTATGTAATGAATGTATATGTAGTTACGTATGTTATAGTGAATGCTAAAAACTCGGGAATTTCTCTTACCAATAACATAACTAATTACTACTAAAAAGATAACCATACACAAAAATTTTAATAAGATTTAAAACTAGAATATTGTATTATGTTGTTCCATTTAAAATATGTTATTCATAAATTCTAAAAACAAGCAAAAAAAATCATTACAATTCCTACTTAAAAAGCATACCTCTCTCAAATAGANAAATAGAAAGACATAAAATTTAAGCGAATATTTTATATCAAAGAAAATCACTTATTAATAGCACATGTGGGTTCTGATAATTAACTTTAAAAATTATTAATGTTTCAGTCACAAGAATATCTTAATTAAAATATATATTGAATGACTAGTTATACAAGTCACAATAGGAAAAAACGAATTTCTCAATTCTAACTAATATTTTGCAGGGGTGACATTAAAGAAATGGGGAAACAGAAGGAAAAAAATATTATGCTTAAAAAACAAGTAAGAATATTTTAAGTGCAATAAATGTATCAAGTAACAAATCAACTAGATGTTTCCAGGGGTGTGTCCAGACATTTTGTGAAAGATTCGTTTCTGTAACATTGTTAGAAATGCAACACACAAATATTTGGTATTTAGTCTATACTTAGTTCCTTGCATTTGTCTTTCTCCCTTCCTCCCCCCTTCCTGGGAAGGGTTAATTCTATTAGCAAAACAATAATGAAGATAAACAAATCTGTGAAGGGTCCGTTTTTAAGTTAAAATATTTTGTGAAGGGTTCGTTAATGGACCCAAATTTCTTCTAAACAGACCTTAATTTTTGAAACCAATGCCATACAGTATGCTTATTCACAGCACTATCCCCTGACACTTGACATATTCGGAGTTTTCATGCAGCTAGTGATAAGCAGCACATGGTGTACCTGCTTTGAAAACAACTAATATTCCTACTCCAACAGGATTTTTGACCACTTTACACACTAATTTACTTTTCACTCAATGGCAAAGCAAAGACAGCAAGAACTTTATTAGTTACCATATATATATAATATATTAAATATTAACTCATGCGTGCATTTTAAAATTTAAAATACATATACATTTAAATACAGTAATATAGTTAACAATAATGTTTAAATTGAGATTATAGTTCAAAATTAACTCTTACTTCAATTTAAAAAATCCGTGTTAAAATATAGTAATTTTATAAAAAGAGTTTTCAGAAGAACTTTTGTTTATTATACTATGCTCAATACTAAAAGTTTATTTATATACACTTTTATACTATAGTCAATACTTAAAGTTTATATATATACACTGGTTATTTTAGATAATAGTGCATAATAATGGTGAAAATTTTGTTTTATATAATTTGAATTCTTAACTGTAACAAAAGAGGAATTTTTCAATACACTTTTTCTCATAAGTTTAGCTATTTAAAATATTAATATCAATGTTATACCAATACATAAAAACAATTCTTAAGGTTTTTGATAGCTTTCGCTGTGATGGTCTCAAACATAGTTATCTTAAAAAAGCTAAAAGTGAAGAAAAAAAAGCAAACTCATTCACAATAAATAAGTCTTACTAAAATTTTAGTAACACAACAGTTATAAAAATCACAAGTAATACCTCATCTGATATTGTTGAGTCTTGAAACCTATGCTGTGGTGAAGACTGATGATCCGATGTGTTTGAAGCATGCTGCTGCAAGAGGTCAGGTACAACAACCATAGAACGTGCTAGCAGTCATCCCTATATTACCAGGAGAGCTTTGAGTCCAGGACCTCAATCACAGCCACCGCTTGATGAACTCCGATCCGTTCGCTCCCTATCACTGCAAATAACAAAGGAGCTTTAGTTTTCAGAACTAAACACAATTAAAAAGGAGAGAAAATTTAAAATGTCTGGAATTTAAAGTATAGCAGATATGCTTCTAGTCAGTTACACGTTTATGCAGAATTTATTGCTATTACAAGAGTAATATTGTTTTACTACAGTGTGTTCCATAATTCAAGCAGGAAATAATTTTGATTGAAAACACAAGTTTTAAACCAAAAATTGTGATTTAAAAAAAACAACAAAAAAAAACAACCTAGAATTGCATGTGTGATAGCCCGTGTGAAATTTTAATAGTCTAAACCCAGAACTTTCCACAACACTGGTATTTTATTTTCAATATCCGCATTTTATTAATCCAATGACATAAAACTCAAAGATTGGGTGACTTTTAGAACACTCTTTATTGCAAACAAATAGCATTTTTTCAGCTAGGAATACAAGTAATATTATGTAATTTTTTTAAAATTGTTAATACATGAATTAGAGTAACAAACCACGCCACAAAAATGACTACTAAAACTGTTCCCTAAGAGCTATCTGCTACTCTACTTAAATGCTACTCTATTAAACAAGATTTGTTGTACTTATAGTTCTGAGGATAATATTATTTTAATTCTAGAAAAAGGAAATTTTAGAGATTGTATAATAATTTAGAAGAAACTGGTATTTCAAATTTGCTGCACTGCTTTTAGTTAGCAGTTGTCTTTAAATTAATTTGAATACTACTTGTACTTATTATTTTAGAAATAATGACTGGAGACAAAAGAACTGTTGCTGTCATGTGGACCCCAGACGGAAAATAAACTAGAGTAGTTTTGAGGTCTAGAACAGGGTTTCTTAACCTGTGGTTCATGGACCCCCTAGGGGTCCATGAGTCATATTTTGGGGGTACGCTGACTACTTTTAAGACGATGGGATTAATAATATTTAAATAACATTGATCTTTTTTTTTCTAAAAGATGAAAATACATACATATTTGAAACTAGGTGATTGAGATACTCCAAATTCAGTGCGGACCCTCTAATATCCTTGTCATATTTTTAACATTCTGCACCAACCGGCATCCCGTTTGAACCATCCGGGGCAATCCCCTGTTTACATCCGATTTGCTATTTTTATAATCCTCTATCGACCCCTCATTTTTTATGAGCCGTCCCTTTGCTCTTTTCTCTTAGATATGCCAGATATCCTCCACAATATGAGGAGCCACATTCGTAAACCATATAAAAGTTTAACATTTTTAAAAACACAAAATAGCCTTCGAATTTTATTTCACTTGAAAATAAAGTAAAGTAAAAATAATAGATGGTTTTTGCAATAATTTTTTTTACAGGGGTTGGTCTGTGACTTCTTAAAAAATTTCAAAAAGGGTCCATTATACCAAAAGGGTTAAGAAACATTGGTCTAGAATGAACATTGCAAACTTGATATCTTAGCATAAAAGTTACAAAACAAAGAATTAAAGATAAAATTTCTATTAAAAATAGCAATCGGAATTCTGAGAAATAACAATGCTCAGAACATTTCAGATTAACAAAATTTAAGTATTACACAATAAACGCAAGTTTATTAAGAAAATAAATAAACAAAAGATCAAGGTCTTTGAATATTAACCATTGTCTTAAGCTACTTAATTAATTATTTCAATTTTTATCTCTTATATTAATAATTTCTACCTTAGTAAATTTCTTGTTTACTTTGTTACAGAATAACAAATTACTTATTTATCACTTCAAAAGAAAGGAGAACATTTAAAATAAATTTGAAACTAAAACTAGCTCAAAAATAACAAGTGCAGAATCCACCTAAAAAAAACAAAAATCCATAAGTTTTTCGATCTGATGATATCCATATACAATTTTTGTACACATACCTTTTACTACAGACTCCTCCTTAAAAGTAATCAAACAGTAAGTATAACGTTTTAAATTAAAAAGGCTACTCGAAATAATAATATTTTAGATTTAATAATGAATTGAAAACGCTTAAAACTAATTTCGTTGGATTTAATTGACGTGTTTACATAATTGCATAAACAAGCAAATAAATTCATTGGGGTAATAATAATTCAACTTCAACAATTCATCTACAAGGAACATCGAGCAGAACAGGCACAAGGGTTTTCACACCAGTTACGATTCATTCAAAAGGCACATTCAACAGAACAAACAGCAGAACTTCCACACAAATTAACATTAACAGGGCAATTACAATTCAGTTAAATTTATTCATTCACAAGGCACATTCAACAGATCAAGCAAAAGAGGCAGCCAAATAATATGCAAATATGTAACTAAGTCAACTCATGTGAAGAATTTAGTGCCAAAAACAATATTATTTATATAAAAATTACAATAAATGTCGTCAACATGCCTAAATACTCGAGCATGCGAACTTTCATTAGATAACCAGGAAAACAAGTAGCCGTGAATTTAAAAAACATTGTGCACCCTGAAATAGGTAGATACTATTAAAAAAATGCATTTCTATTTTAATTGAATTCTTTAATTTGAAAATCCAAACTAATAGCAAATTTAAATGGTAAAAATAAAGTATTGGTTTAAAACCAATTTCCAAAGATTGCGCGAAGCTATTTTTACGCTTTTAGCTTACTTGTTTTATTGAAATTTTTATTTTAATTCACAATATACGCGATAACTTCCCGAATTCTTGCAACCATGAGTGATACTCAACAGCCAATCACAGTGCAAAAAGCCCATTGATCCGACGTTATCATCTCCTTGTTGCCATTCTGTAGTAGAAACTATGGTTTAAAATTAGTTACCAATTCCTTAAAAGATAGAGACCCGGATTTTATTCCAAATATTCCTATTTCCTGGTATATATATGTCCCGCAGTGGTTCCCAGGCAGATCACTGAAGTCAAATGTTCGAATATAACACCAATTTTCCTAAACAACTCGTAGACAATTTTGACTGAAATAAAATTATCGCCGATTCCCAGAAAAATATTAGTTGCTAAAAAATTACCTTTGATTATCTTCCTGGATCAAGTATTGAGAGAAATTTGCTTTCGTAGAGAACTCTTTGGTGCAACTATCCCACATTTGCGTAACATGGAGAGGAAAACCACGAAAACTTATTTCGGTTAGCCTGACGGCAAGGGGACTTTAACCCATGATTCGTCTACCACTGAGGATATTTCACATCAACACTGTGGATGGTGAGAACCGGGTGCGGAATTCGTATCGACCAGCAATTGTATCCTACCAGGTTTACCTGATCGGGAGGCGAGCTCTCTATCCCCTGAGCCACCACGGCTCAATACTATCATTTTTATTTTATGATCGTCGTTGAACAGCTAACCTAATTCTGGGTTTCGATTACCAATGTTCAATTCTGTATCCTTGTAATTTTGATCACATTCTAGAAAACAAGGGAGCTCCTGGATCAGTACCCTCAGAGTTTTTGATTTGTAATGGGAACATGTTATAATTACGGGGGTGGGGGAAAGTGAGACATGCGGATACTGTGGTGAAGTGTACAATCACCGCATTATGTTGTTCGGGCAGAATATAATTTATGTTATTCCGCTTTTTATTAAACCTGTCAAACCAGCCATTCGAGCACTTAAAAGTAATCTCACCCAATCGCTTAGCAAATTCATCGGCTTTGACTTGAATCACTTGTGGCCAGACCAGGGGCCTGCAACTAAATACGAAATAAAGCGGGCGCGCACGATGCGCCCGCTTTAAGCTTGGGGGGTGGAATTTTTACTCTAAATAAAACGAATAGTTTTTTTTTGGGGGGGGGAATTTAGAATTTGCCCAATAATGCACCCAAGAGCTTGGGGGGGGGATGGGGACCACTGGGCCAGACATTGGAAGAGGGCGGCTTCTTTGAATGCTGAACCCATTCAATAATGAAGCACACAAGAAAAAATACGTATTGCTACATTCCATGCTACAGATGTTTTTTAAAAATCGGTATATGTATTTGTTTTGAGGTAGACATTTCAGAATTATTGCGAAAAAATGAAGAAAATAAGATGAGAAAAAGTGCATACTATCCAAATTCTCTTCTGTCTTTGGTTCACTATATCTACAAAAAATAACATTATACGGGTGCAGCAAGGCAGGGGAGCGAACATTTCGTTCACTTTATCCGGGAATTCACTATAAACCGCGTTCACTATAGCGAGGTTTGACTGTATTCTCAACTTGGTGGTTCATGATATTACTGAATTCACGAACGCTGATTTAGATAATAGCAATTCTTCATTTTTTCTTTTTAAATATAATCTCCAGTTTGCTAGATTGCTTCTCATTATGTTTTTATTTAAATATTATTTTTTGAAAAAAATAAAATAAATTTTTTTTTTTTTTTTTTGAGAAATAAAACTTATATTTAAGAACTATCGCATTTTGTGAATTTGCATTTATAATTGTTGATAAAAATTTATTAATAATTTTAGCGTAGAAAAATAAACGAAACACTAATTCGTATCTTTGAAGCAATAAATTTGTGAATCAATCATAGACACAATGAATGAGCAAATTTATGAAACAGAGAATTAATAAAGTCGTCAATCAATGATTATCAGCGATTCAATAAATTAGCAAACATTTGACTTAATGAATCGATAAATAAGAGAATGCATGTATCAACAATCGATTCATCAGAGACTTAATCATCGAATGCGTGATTTAACAGGTGAGTGAATTATTGAATCGATAAATATGTAAACGAAAATGAAAGAGAATCAACACATTACTGAATCAATAAATGCGACTAATACTGAATCAATTACTGAATGCGACTAAGAGTTCAATCGACTAGAAGTTCAAAGAATCACTGATTACTGATTCGCTTCTCATTGATTCATTTTTTCTTTAATACTCTAATTCAGTAATTCGCTGTTTCATTTTCCTACTAATAATTTAATTCATCTTTTCTTGCTTTCATCCCCTGACTGATAATCAGATGCATTCAAATTTTGTTTATTTCACTTGATCCGTTTTTTAATATGGTAATTTATTTTTGATACANAAAAAAATCATCCAAGGGGTGGGCAACCCTGACTGGGTAAATGACAGGCCAAAAGTAGAGAAAATTGTCTCCTCCCTAATGTCTGTTGTAAAAGTCTTCGTATGTGGTAGCTAAATTTAGTTACTTTCTTCTTTAACCTCGAAAAAGAAATACCGCAGCAAAAACAGAAATTAAATAAAATAAAAAATAAATGATTACTGGTAATACGTTTTAAAGCAATTATTAATAAAAATTTATTAATAATTTTAGCGTAGAAAAATAAACGAAACACTAATTCGTATCTCTGAAGCAATAAATTTACGAATCAATCATAGACACAATGAATGAGCAAATTTATGAAACAGAGAATTAATAAAGTCGCCAATCAATGATTATCAGCAAATCAATAAATTAGCAAATTTGACTTAATGAATTGATAAATAAGAGAATGCATGTATCAACAATCGATTCATCAGAGACTTAATCATCGAATGCGTGATTTTACAGGTGATTGAATTACTGAATCGATAAATATGTAAACGAAAATGAAAGAGAATCAACACATTAATGAATCAATAAAATAGTGCGACTAAGAGTTCAATCGACTAAAAGTTCAAAGAATCACTGATTACTGATTCGCTTCTCATTGATTCATTTTTTCTTTAATACCCTAATTCAGTAATTCGCTGTTTCATTTTCCTACTAATAATGTAATTAATCTTTTCTCTCTTTCTTCCCCTGACTGATAATTAGATGCATTAAATTTTTGTTTATTTCACTTGATCCGTTTTTTAATATGGTAATTTATTTTTGATACATCGATTCACTGTTTTTTTTTTAATTTAATGATTCATTATCCACTGACTCGCTTATTTATTTATTTGCTCATTCATGGATTTGAAGATTCTTGAATTTCATTCTTAGCCTTATTCTATACTTATTTGGACATTTTATTATACTTATTTCATTTTTTACTGTTATGTGTGCACTAAATGCGAAATTACGGATAACTATTACAATCTAATAAGTAACTACGAGTATAAAAATAAATTTCAGTTGTTTATGGTAAAGGTAAATAATCAAATTTTTTTTTAAAAAAAGAACGAAACTCTGGTTAGAAATTCTGTAGTTTCATATTACATTCAGAAAATATTTCTGACTCTTTACTAAAATAAGTAAACCGTTTCTAAGCTTGATTTCTCTTCGTTTCTAATAAGTACAGAAGCAAATCGATGAAAGAAAAAATAATAACTAATTTAGGCCAATCCAGCACTAAAATTCCACAATATAATTGTATTTTCCACCATATATGAGAGTCGTTCAAATGAAATCTGATCAATGCGTCTTACTTTGCATTAGACGTAATGGGGCGCCACGTAACTGCGTGTATGGCTGCACCATCTATTGGTAGAGAGACTGACATATGCGCAACGTTTGAGGTTGCATAGCGACAGTGTGGTTGCACGTCGAAGAGAAGGTGGCCATACAAGTTATCGTCCACTACGGAACATGCAGGCGAGTAAGCAGGAACAACGAGTNTTTTTTTTTCAATTTAATGATTCATTATCCACTGACTCGTTCATTTATTAATTTGCTCATTCATGGATTTGAAGATTCTTGAATTTCATTCTTAGCCTTATTCTATACTTATTTGGACATTTTATTATACTTATTTCATTTTTTACTGTTATGTGTGCACTAAATGCGAAATTACGGATAGCTATTACAATCTAATAAGTAACTACGAGTATATAAATAAATTTCAGTTGTTTATGGTAAAGATAAATAATCAAATTTAAAAAAAAAGAAACTCTGGTTAGTAAGCTTATTTAACTGAAATTCTGTAGTTTCATATTACATTCAGAAAATATTTCTGACTCTTACTAAAATAAGTAAACCGTTTCTAAGCTTGATTTCTCTTCGTATCTAATAAGTACAGAAGTAAATCAATGAAAGAAGAAAAAAACAACTAATTTAAGCCAATCCAACACTAAAATTCCACAATATAATTGTATTTTCCACCATATATGAGAGTCGTTCAAATGAAACCTGGTCAATGTGTCTAACTATGCATTAGACGTAATGGGGCACCACGTAACTGCGTGTATGGCTGCACCATCTATTGGTAGAGAGACTGACGTATAAGCAACGTTTGAAGTTGCAGAGCGACAGTGTGGTTGCACGTCAAAGAGAAGGTGGTCATGCAAGTTATCGTCCACTACGGAACATGCAGGCGAGTAAGCAGGAGCAACGAGTTTCGGTGGGAAGCGCTGGAACATCCACCGTACTGTCCAGACCTTTCACCGTGCGTCTTTCATGTTTTTGGACCTCTAAAACAAGCTATTCAAGTATATATTTTCAAAATGGACGACGAGGTGT